TTTGATATGGCTCGGAGTTTGCAGAACAACGTCAATTCCTAATTACCCGATGAACGGGCACACGAGTAAAGCGTCCGCCAGGCTGTTTAGGGGCATTTCCTCCCAACGGAGTAAATAAGTACAATGAGTTACTAAAATAAATTAGATCCCCCATAAAAAACACAATGAAGATGTTAAGGGGCGTGGCTGTTTAGAGCTTTGATTCGCATTAACTAGATTATTCCTAAAAAATTTTTTAAAAATCCATATTTCAAAGTTTGATGCTTCCAGTCATAAGACCAACCCTCAATAAAAATACAAACAAATCCCTCAAGCATTGTTTTCAAATTGGACGGAGTTCTTTGACAACATCTAATTTGCTGGATTATTTCAGCGTAACATCTAGTTAGCCGCTCAATAATGAGCTCCATGAGAACAAGTTTAGTCTGGCGAAAGAAGTTGGTTGTTTGAAGTATCGGTCTGAAACAATATTGTTTCAGACTCACAAATCCTATTTTCAATTTCAATAATGAAGGTACTGTTAAATAGCTACTAAATAAATGTTTTATGACAGAAATCACTGGATAATGCAAATATAATACAGGATAATATAAACAGATAAGATTATATAAATAGATAGCATAATATATAATTAGATAGGATGTATACAAAATTTGAGTTCTCACGAAGAAAATAAACTTCTAATAATATGCAAAAAAAACCTAATATCATCGAAACGAACATAATCGTAGCATCTTCTTGTCAAACGTAGAATTGGCAGCTTCGAGAGGTTCAGATAACATTCGATGGCCGAGGAAACTATAATGTTGAAAATACTACAATCAAAGAATGATGAAATAGTCACATTGAAAGAAATTAGTAAAAATCCTCGCATCTCGAAGTATTACACGGCGTCGGCTGCTCGTTCATTGTGAACGTGGCCGTGGGCTGTGTGCTTGCGTGGTGAAATGCAGCGCCTGGGATGTGGTCTTGCGTCAGGTCTATTGGAGGCAAATACGTCAGGCCTAATTTGAGGCAAAACTTTTGTCAGGAAATGCAGCGCCTGGGATGAGTTGTCGTCTGCAGGCGAACACAAGGAGAGTTGTCGTCTGCAGGCGAACACAAGGCGAGCAATTTTGTCATGAGACACAGCGTTACTGTGGTGAGTTACCGTGTTGTTACCGTGGTGAGTTACCGTGGATACTTACCGTGTTGTTACCGTGGTGAGTTACCGTGGTGAGTTACCGTGGATAGTTACCGTGTTGTTACCGTGGTGCGTTACCGTGGTGCGTTACTGTGGTGCGTTACTGTGGTGAGTTACTGTGGTAAGTTACCGTGGTGAGTTACCGTGTTGTTACCGTGGTGAGTTACCGTGTTGTTACCGTGGTGAGTTACCGTGGTGAGTTACCGTGGTGCGTTACCGTGGTGAGTTACCGTGTTGTTACCGTGGTGTGTTACCGTGGTGAGTTACCGTAGTGAGTTACCGTGGTGCGTTACCGTGGTGCGTTACCGTGGTGCGTTACCGTGGTGAGTTACCGTGTTGTTACCGTGGTGTATTACCGTGGTGAGTTACCGTGGTGCGTTACCGTGGTGCGTTACCGTGGTGCGTTACCGTGGTGAGTTACCGTGGAGGCAGGAGTTTTGAGCTTCGTACAGATACGCATTAGAAGGCCACCCGTCGTTCATCGATGATCCATAATCCAATTGCTACTAGACACATGCAAGAAGAACAGTTATAATAAATCAATACTTCGGAATGGTTGGGTCGCACCCACGGGTAGGAAACGAAGAGATGCAATGTGGGACAAGGAAGAAAAATTAAATGAATTTTTTTTATGTTCTGGCAGGGACAACAAAATCACTCTTAACCAATGAACCGATTTCATCACGACGAAGGCAGGTCGTTAACATTAATAATTTTTTAAATTAGTAGAGTAGATAAATAGAGCACACTGAACTGTCCCGAAACCTCTATCACAATACTGTGCACTGTACAGACTTTATTATTACCCGTACACAGCAGTACCACTTCGCTCCCAATGCGCAGAGCATATTGTTGTTTTCGTAACAGACTCACGTGTCCTATAGTTTCTCTATCGAGAGGCGCCACATCGCGGTGCTGCGGCCACACGCCGACATGGCACTTGGTCATCGCGACGAAGGTCAGGTCGTCGCTTTATCGCACTTCAGATTCTGCACATAAAAATAAGCCACATCTTAATTACGACAACAGCAATGGCGCGACAATGGGTATATGGCAGTTTTCAAACACTAATATTTCATACTTGTGATACACGAGTCCCGCATCACATATCACCCTGAGTCAACCTACTGCCTTCATGTTATAAAGCGGAACGAGATCAATGGAGGATATTTCCAAGTTTTATATGGAGAAGGAACGTCGAAAATTTTTATTCTACTAATGCTTGGCTTGACAATGGGATCCAAGGAGATCCTAATGAGATACGCAGTTCTGAAGGTCATCATTTGAAAGTTTTTGAATGAAAATGAAAGAAAAGTGGATGACAAATGCCAAATACTTCAATAAAACCCAAGAGGACCGGAAAAGGATATACATCTTCAAGACCGGATGCAATCGATTCTGAGGTGCCGGAAACTGGTAAAATTCAAGGAAATTGAATTTGTCAGAGTAGAATAATTTCTATGGTACCATATGCAACGTGTTCTTAAATTAATCAAATAAAAATCACGTACTAGAATGCAAGACAGTAAACGAACACATAATATTCCACTGTTGAAATGTTGTTGTAGATATTTCACTGTTGAAAATCGCTGGCAGTTTCAGTTAGCTCGTGGCTTCGGAAAAATTGATGGTCGGGCGTACTCGGAGCAACACTAGTTTAAAATAAATCCGTATTAAAGAAACGTAGCAATATTTCGGTTCATGTTGAGCTATTAAAATTAGAAATTATTTACCTGGAAACTCGTTGAAAATTTATTGCCGAAAATTTAAGGAAATTTATTGCCGTGGCAGCAAATTGAATTTCCTGGGAACAAAATTTTCATCGAGTAAAAAAAAAAATCGCTCGATTTCATTCTTTGTGCAGCTCTGCCGCGCAAATGTTTGTCCCGTTCAATTCGTCCGCTGAATGGTTTGAACCTAATTGTTTCTCAACCAAACTGTTGGATTGCACTTTAGATCTTGCTAAGTTTAAGTTCAACTGGATTACATCTCATATTTTTGAACGAAGAAGGTCAAGAGAAGCAGGTGTAGAAGTGGAATAAAGAATGGAAATGAAAGTTTCTGTTCCTATCCCAATCGATATAGCAAAACAAAGTACGCTTTCGGGACGTCGCTCAATCATGCGCCCTTGAAATCCGGAAGTAATTTCTACTGGTAGAATTTTGCAAAAGTGTCATTGATAATAAATTGGCCATATTTGAAGAAATAACGCATTCTCAGGCTTACGAAATATTAAATAGTCAGGAATTTTTAAAGCATTACAATATGAATGAAAAATCTAGTTTGAAGCCATAATATCATAGGATGGAAGAATTTGAATTGAAGGAAAACTTATTTGTGAAGACAAATATTAGCAACGGCGCATCAAAGCAGTCAAATACAGGGAACCGATCCCTTCCTTGCTCCAATAATCTAAGTAATAATCTCTGGCTCTCACGGAGTTGCAGGAAAAGTCATCACAACTTTACGCGCTCACTATTCGAGCGCTCAAGTGTCGCGTTAGGCGAGTTTAGGAAGCAATAAGCAAAGATCAGAGAGCCCGGCTTGAAGCACCGAGCTATTATAGTAATGCTGATCAACTCTTGAAGCTGAAGATCGCAAATCTACCCATCGCAGAGCAAACCACACTCTTGCTCATTAAATACATCTAATATATTCAGTATACTACCAAGTAATCACGGCAATACATTTACATAGTATTCAATAATTATCTGCATCATGATGGTATTGCGCGTACCATTTAAGTAACAGCAATACAGTTATTTCTTTTCATTTTTTCACCATCTCTGTACGTTGATTTATGCGTTTACGACAGATCCCGTAAGGGGGGAAGATGGTGGGGGGCCTTCAGTAATTTCAAATGGGGAAATTAACTATAAAATGTGCTCTTCGCTCGGCTAGAGCTCCAGCTCAGTAACCTCACAGATCGTTATAGTTCGGATTTTATTTTGCAAAAAGTGGGGGAGGGCGGGGGTAAAATCGAAAAATTTCGAAAAATATCGGAAAAAAATGCTCCCACACCCACATAAATGAGGAATCCAAAAAACAGCCAAGTGACCTTTTTAGATATGGTCTTTGCGCATCGAATGATATGCGTCTCGGTATTGTAGCTTGAAAATCCTAGGAGGAGACAGGATTTCTAAAGTACCCCCTTTTTGGCCCTTTTCTAAGAATTTCACGTTTTCTTTAATTTTTTTCGAAAAATTCACACAAAAAAAAAAGTCTTAGAATTCCGTTTTACATACGTGTACCAAATTTCGAATCGATCCGTCTGTAAATAACTGAGATAAAGTTGTCCCTAGACGCTCCCCTTAAACTGTAGTAACAGGAATACAAATATTTTTTTTTCATTTTATCTCAAGGACAACACTTGCTTTAATTCAACATTAAGTTCACTATCCTAATTTTCTAAGTAGGTTCATAAATTGGCATTAAGAAGTTACTAGGGAAAATCTCCTAGCTCATTATCCTAATTTTCTAAGTAGGTTCATTAATGGGCATTAAGAAGTTACTAACGAAAATGTCCTAATAGAATTTATCAGTCCATTTGTCTAAGATCGTTCAGACATTTGTTTTCTAATCATACGTAGACGATTATTCATTTATATAACATTAGAATGTGCAATTAAATATTTTTACTGTGAACTTAAAATTCAAATATTATAGTAAGTAAGCAAAAAACCGAATAAAATGTTAAGAAATTATATGATCAATAATTGGAAAAATGTGCTTTAATTGAAAATCAGAATTCCTTTAAGCGATTTAGTGAATTCACGAAAAGAACATCAGTCGCGGCGAAGGCTTGACTTGTACTGACCAGCATGCGTAGTGAGGACCTGCAGCCTGAGGAGGGGGCCGGGGGGCAGGTTCTCCCTGACGGAGATGTTGTAGTGCGAGCTGCTGAAGTGAAGTGGGTCACGTGCCATCAGGTGGGTCACTGCAACGGACATGACATGTGCGATATTACATGTGTGGCAAGCCATGTGTGACAAGCCATGTGTGACAAGACATGTGTGACATGGCATGTGTGATATACATGTGTGTGATATAAATGTGTGACATGACATGTGTGACATGACATGTGTGATATAACATGTGTGACAAGCGTACACACTGTACTGTACACACTATATTGTACACACTGTTCGGTACACACTGTTGACATGTGTGACATGACATGTGTGACATGGCATGTGTGACATGACATATGTGTGACATGGCATGTGTGATATGAGCATATGACATGAGTTACGTTAGATGTTTCACATGACATGAGTGACATGACACCCTTAGAGTTATTAGCGCGTTCCAATGTATTCATACAAAGAATCAAGTTTCCAAAATACAGCACCAATATTTGATGAAGGATGATGAAGGGTACGAAATAAAACAGGATTGAACTAAAGTATACAACGCAGTATGACCTTGATCATCAGGTGATAAATGTGAACAGCAGGTTATAAATAACTTATAACATGTTGTTTACACACTCTTCATAATGAGACCTTAATTTAAGACATCAGCGACGTTAGGCCGCAGTTAAAACACATATTTATACGAGTGCTTAGAGAAGAAGAGCTTCTACGAGATTTTACAGCAGTCAACCATCAAAACCATGTTGTATCATCCACTTTGCATGAGGTCATCTTTTAGTGCAATAATGTGTACGAATGTTTATCAGAAACGAGCAAGTGCGGCGTCTGAGGTACGTTCGATAGGAGTGTCGGTGCAAAAAAATAATATACAGAATCAAGATTTTTTTCAAGTTCTTCTTCATGATATAACGTAATTTTAATAAATTAGTCATCGAATATTTATAGGGATGTTAATGGTCCATAAAGAATTCAATAGACACGATAGCCAAGATTTCTAAACGAATCATCGTAGGATTAATATTGGTGACATCGTTAGTTGCAATAAAAGCTGCTCTAATATCAACAAAATTATATATAACCATAGCTTGTAAAAAAAGGAAGTCAATCTCCCTTATATTATGGTTGTACAAATATGTAACCATAGTCAGGCTGCTTGCCATGCATCCGGTCTCGCCACATCCGTGCCCTGGGCACTACATTATTCACGCGGTAATTACGCCAGCGTTTGTTTGCTGCACAAACTCCACACGCACTGCAACACTCAGCCCAATTATCCCAGTGCTTGCAAATTAACATAACGAGCCTTCGCGAGGATGTCTATTGGGCGTTACAGAAGAATATTTTTCAATTATCGCAAACAATAATTAAGGTTTAATCCTTCGGCGGCCATGAGCATACATGTGTACTAATCTCGTCTGGTATAACTTCCAAGATGGCTAATTGTTAAACTCATTAACGACATCGGCATGAGTTCAACACGTTCATAAAGATGTTAGTTAATACCGGAATTGTACATTAACATTTAACTGCTTCAAGGCAAACCTTTGCAAGCCGGTTAATTTGATTGTTTCTAATCCAATTCTGACTTAAATGAAAGCAGTGAGTGTTTGAGAAAAGTAAAAATAATCGAACAAATATTCATTTGTAAGAAGCTGGAACGGCACTATTGAGTTGAGTGGATAAGGGGTACACTAGTGGCTGCTGTCACTCGAATTTACGTCTTTTGGAGGTGCTCCAGAGCGAAACCAGAATACCGAACTTAGTTTTTTTGAAAACGCCAAAATGAAACATTTGCCAATTTTATTCAATTATATCTAGAAATAAATGCATTGTTTTACACTGTCATAGCAAAAGAAAAATGACGCTATGGCCGCAGGAGCTGCAACTCATCACCAATGGAGTTTGTTGACCTCAAGCGACAGCGGCGAGTGCAGCGCATGCCCTGCGCGATGGAGTCATGAAAATCCTTAAGCTTTGGTTAAAATTTCCGTCCCCGCCCCTAAGATTTATCTTTGTCCTTCTTCCAGTACATTAGGCAACCAAGAATATTCTGGTCCTCGTGAGCAGTTGTGAGGAAATAATGCCACGCAATGGAAGTTTTTATTTGAGGGCAAGAACGGCCGGGCGGTCGAGGGCGGTATCCATGATACTGCACTCGGGTCAGCTTAGGTTTTGCTTGCGCCGCTAGCAAAAGATTCTCAGACGCAGGAAAACTGGAAAATGTGGTGCATTAGAAAGTTAATGCAGGTCGATGGTAAAGTTTTGTGAATAATTAGGATGTTCACATCAACAGTATGATGAATTCTAACAAAATCACTCTTCTGCAATGTCGGGAAAACTACCGACGGATTATTTGAATCTATCAAGCTGCGGGAAAAGGAAACGTAAATACTGGCAAATGCTCCTTATCGGTTAATCGAGATAAAAAGATCGAATGCACAAAATCTGTGTAAAGCAACATAAATATATGTATAAGATGGCAAAATCGGTTCCATTATACAAGTTTAACTACTAACCCGAGCATGCATTAAAAAATTAATATAATCTACTCCAAAGTGTCGAACGATGTTTTTCGCACTTGTAAAATACGAAAATTGGATGATAATCAAGAATTAAAAATATGGTTTAAGATATTTCCGAATTTTAATTTCTGGTTAGAATTCAGATTATTAATTTCGTGTAGTCATTTCGATCGAAATATATTTAAACTCTAGTGTAACTCGAAAGTTAATGTGGTTAGGTGCGACATTAAAATGATTTGAAATATTTTTTTGGACCTGTTTTCCAGTCATCCAACGACAACAAAAAGCATTGCTCGACACACTGCTAAACCACTAAGACAATGATTTGAATAACTGTCTTAGCATCAATCAATCTTAATGCATTCACCGGCAATCAATAGAATTTGTGCAATGGGAATAAATTGATGTGAAAAAACGTGCAAATTATACCCAAGAAAGTAGAGCTTTCGTCATTAAAAATATAATTCCCTCCTTCATTGTTTATCTAAAAGAAAAATCACTTTTAGATTTATTTGGTCTGATTTACATGGATTGGAATACACTATGAATAATATACATTGATTATGTTTTCAAATTCACAAAGGTATAGTGATAAAAAATATAACTCAGTACTCACTGCAGTGAGCGACAGAGAGCGCATTTTCTCGTAGACGAAAACTTGAAGTCACGGACGGACAGACGGACATGGCGAGCACAATAGTGCATTTTTTTCCAATGAGAAAATTCGCTTAAAATGATGACGCCCTAACTTAACGGCATAATACACACGTGGCGCATCAGGAACACGGCTCTCCTTCGCAGGAAGGAGAACCGGGCCTCGGTGCCAGAGAATAACTTCTGATGATATGGCAACGTGAGGAAATAATACAAAACCAAGCGGCCTTTCTTTGTCATTTTTCTTAGGCCCTGGTCATCACAGGCCTGAGGGCTGAGAACTCAAGGGCTAAGGGTAGGTACAGCCAAGCATATTTCGGAACAGAGAACCGTAAATACCAGGATGGAACGCAAAACAGACAATGAAAGTACTTGTGCATTAGATTTAGATAGATTAGAAGAAAATTATAGCCGGTGGCACCACTTGCTCAAGCCGGAATGAATTAACCAAATAATGATCCGCAAGTTCACTGCCACATTAGTGAGAAAGCGTTTGCATTAGCGGGATTATCCGTCCGTATTTTTGTGCTGACCTCCGCACCGACACCACAACAAAAACTGAAGCGGCAAGCGCCCGCTGCAGGTTTGTGTTGCCACTACACGGACACTAACAGGTCTGCGTCATCACCCCGAGAATACAGATCCAAAATACCCTCAGTTGGACCGTTCGAAATGTATTGAAGAAATTTACACGCACTGTTCTGGAAATCAGTGAGGTTAGGTGGGACAAATGTGCAGGGAACTTCTGGAATTGACTATTCATTTGCCTTCTTCGTGGTCTAATGCATCAGTTAACTATCCAGTGGATATAAATTAATTATTGTAATTCTCCATCAATAATTATTGCTAACTATATTACAAATTCTGTTTATTTGGAATGATTAACTAACACAGGGATGACCTAATACACGCACCACTAACGGAAGCCAATTATGCTACAGGAACCAAATGCTCTCGAAATGAGAGGATGTCAGAGTCCCTGAATGCATCGCCGAAGTTCATCGCATTGGCTGAACACGATTTACACGAGAGCACAACGTCGTCCAAGCAAAGTAAAGCCACTCAATCAAAGTAAAGCCACTCAAGCAAAGTAAAGCCACTCAAGCAAAGTAAAGCCACTCAAGCAAAGCCAAGCCACTCAAGCAAAGCCAAGCCACTCAAGCAAAGCCAAGCCACTCTAATGGGCTTTAGGATAACAATCAGATTCACTATAATAGTCTACACTCTACACACAATAGCCAGACACCTGCAGCGCTGTCGCATCAGCTATTCGCCAGTCGGCTGCATCATTCACCAGTCGTCCGTCTCATTCGTCAGTCGTCTGCACAACTACGAATAACTTAAAATTATTCCCTATTATGTCATTCATTTGCGGTTGCAAAAAATCCATACAAAACATGTTAAAAAACACCTCGTATCAAATGTCGGAACAGTAATCTCAATTGTGAAGTTTCTCAGAGATATCTTTTCAAACAAAGATAGCGCATTTAACTCGAGCCACTAAAAAGATAATTTCCCTAGAAAATGAAGTCCGAGGTGAATTATAGGGTTCTAATGCACATATTTGTGACCATGCATGTAAGCGGAATTGAGACTTTACGTTGACTATCACGTTAATTATTACTTTACGTTATATCGTTATTACGTATTACGTTATTACTTTACGTTGAGAATCAATTGTGCTCAAATACCTGCTAGCTCAAAGTGATCAATGCTCAAGAGCTGTGTAGGTTTTCCTTGCCTCGCTACTTCCACGAATGGTTTCTTCACCTTTGATGTACATAAAACGGAGCAAAATTTAGGAAACGGAGTATAATAAAACATGGGTGCAGAAGAGAAACTTAAGTTGAATAAAAACAGCATGAACATGCATATTGATTT